AATTCTTAGACAGCAAAGTCATTTTCACCACACCAATTTTAATAAATACAGGGCTTGCATTTGGTAAAATCCGTTATAATATGAGTTTGAATGCAATAACTTATGCAATGCGTAGATAGATTATTAAGTGCGTGGATAGGTCGACTGGAGAGAATGAGCTCAGATTTCAAACTTGCAACTTGTAGGGGGGAGGGAGTCAAATAGCGACGGTATTGTAAACCTAAATTCATAGCGCGTAGATATCTCACTAAACTTTTTGCCAATTTTTTAGATGTAAATCCTGTCAATTCCCGACATCTGATTTTAAAGCCGTCCTACCGATATGATTTCGAATCTACGGGTGGACGAAATAGGGGGGGATAAAGGATAACCATTTTGACCCCATGTATTTATTATTGTAAGTAAGATAATTTGCGATATGAAGCATCGTGCAGTGTTTACACCGCTTTTCAGGTAACCCAAACATGGTTTTGTAGAGGAGCCGAGTAGCATTTATAAGAGTTTGTAAAACGCTGCGTATGTATCGTTCTACACCATTTACGGCAGCACTAATATTGGTTCAACATAAACTTCTACATCCCATTGCGAAAAATGTGAAACGATGCATTATGGAACAAGTAAAAGTGTTATCAAGTGTTGTTGCTACAATATACACCAGGTTAGTTGTGTGGTAAAGTGTTGTTGCTACAATATACACGAGGTTAGATTTAGTTCGCCCATGTTATGCATATCTATTTGATTCAGCGTTAGCAAAACGGATTCTTAGAAAATCAAATTTGGCTTCTACGGAAGTATTGAAGTTGTATGGGCAAATAACAACTTCTGTAACTCCACCGCAGCCTTTGCAGAGCCCTAGTTGTTCGTGTTTACATAGGGTAATATATAGGGTGCTTCATGTAGTCAATAAGCCATATTGCTTCATGTAGTCAATAAGCCATATTGACTACATGAAGCACCCTATATATTACCCTATGTCAATAAGCCATACAATGGATAATACGCTGGGATTGAATAGATCCGCTACACACCTCATAGAGAATTTAAACGGTCTGTCTGGCGCACCCAAACCACCCTTCTCCATCATACATGTGCCTTTGGCTCGCATGTACGAAGCGATTTCAGGAACGTACTCGCGGTCGGTTCGTCCCAGCCTCGGTGACAGGATCTGAACCACATGTGTACACGAACCAGGCATGAAGCTTATGCACAAATTCACTTGAAATGCCTGGTGGTTGTAGTTGCGTCTAGTGCAGTGAGTATCCTCTGCGCGAAGTTGTGGCGTCAAAACCTCAGAGCAGTGACGTTTGCTCGCTTAACATAGATTTGCTTTCCGAAACCCATCAATCGCCTTTAGTGCCAGCCCGAAGGACCCTTCCTTGTCTACACCATCCTAGTTTAGCATCACTGGTCCAAACAATTTATTCGCGACGACAACTACTTCCTGTGGCAATTTATCGCCTGAATGACTATCGCGCGAAAGAACCTGGTCAACGAGTCGTGTTCAGACCAGAAGAGGCCGCTCTGAATATAACAGAGTTACAGGACGCGTACCTGAGTTCTTTGATTAATTGATATCGTTTTGCAGAGCAGTAGTTTTCACAAAACATACAAAAAGCTATGCTATATTTTATGCGTCGAAATACGATCTCGACCTGTGGAGTGCTGACTATAGTTTGCTTCTCTATGCTGGTACTTTGCCGGTTGATTCACAACTATCGGCTTCATATGTAAGCACTGGAACAAGGAATTCATGTTTATGAAACCGTATCGCTCAATCTACCACTACTGCAACCGTCCTAGCGATAGCGGCACCGTTGGGGACGGCCGGATCGTTCCGAACGGCCTTAAAGGCGGCCACTACGATCTTGGCGACCATACCAAACGTTTTCACGACAATAAACCTTGTCTTACGGACCCGTCAAAAGCGTTCTCTAGCTTCTTGCACTTCTGGATCGTTCCATACTCACGGCGGAACATCTGTTGTGCCTCAAGCAACGTCATTTACCTGTGGTTTAACTTCATCTTACTGTCGAATCTCGCGGCTGTCGAGAAGGATGGCTAAGCGCTCCACTCTACCCCAACATCAACCGTGAATGCTGCTGACTCCGTTTTCGAGAAGTTCTAGAGACACCTGTCCCCGAAAGGGGTCCATAGCATCCAGCTCTTCACCGTTTTCAAGCGCCTGCTCGCCCAGCTCGCGACTAAACACCTTACACTTCCCCGTGTAGCCAACATTCCACAATGCAGATAACTCTAGAAAAGCCCCCACCCATACGTGCCCCGTTAAAAAAGACCCTTGTTTCGTCAATACGTCATCGCTACGAAATCGCTATCATACACACGCGTCTCCAGCCGTCCTCACATGTACTAGTCTTCCTTCCTACTTCCCCGAATTGCTGGCTTAGGCGTCTCCAGTAACTGGCCCGCCGCTGTTGATGTTGTGGTGATAGGATTGCGGTAGGGTTGTGTGTGTATGGGGGGCAAACTATCGCTGGGAGGTTACGTGGTATCCATCGGAAGTTGACACCTGGTGGTAGAAGACCGATGGTTATTAAGGTTTCTCCCAGTTTTAGATTGCGCGCGATTTTCTTAAGCATAGGTCGTTCAAGGCTCAGTAATTGTGATTGGTAAAGGGGGGTATGGGGGGGGCGTGAGACGTTAACTTAAGGCGATATGGTTCTGTTTAGGGGAGACTTGGCGCGTGCAGGCGCGAAGAACAAAGAAGAAAACATTCGGCTGGATGTTTATGTTCGTGTGAAAGGCAGTAGGCATCGCGCAAAAGCACCAGAGGCCGTCCCGTTTAAAAACATTTTATGATGTAAGAGCATGGAGTTTTACGATTTGCGCCTGGGGCTATGGGGCGCGAGCGCCGTAGATCATCATGACTTTGGGTGTCGTCATGGGCTGCGGGCGTTGTGGTACAAGGCGTCACGTCGTCGTTGGGGGCAGACGTCACACCCACGGCGTTTCGCGATTCTAGCTGCTGGGCCTTCATGAGCGGAATGACAAATAGGTGGGGTTGTCTGCCACGCGTTCTTGTTCACATCATTCATTGGTCACAGTGGTACGAATGAAATGCCGACACTCATAGGGCAAGGTCTTTAGGATTTGCAGATCGTGGTGTTTGATTATTGAACTGGTGTATCGGCTGGTTCTGCAGGTGTTTGACTATAATTATGCTGGTGTTTTTGGTATTTCGTCCGTGGGATAGGCATTCTGATCAATTTGTATATATCTCACGCAGTGCTTGCCAAACGTGTTGAATTATTTGCGCATTGAGGCGCGGTGACGACGGACGGAGAAGGAAAGAGAGCTGTAACACGCCGAGCGGTAGTGAAAACCGTAGATACGGGGGGAGAGATGGATAGGGGGGGGGAGGATGATACGAGGGGAGGAGTGATGACGACATACGGATCCATCCCACCGAAGCCGAGTTTGCGATAGTGCTAAACATTCGATGATTGGCAGCCGAATGCGGTGTGGAAATAAACATGCAAGCTGTATGGGAAATGCAAGCTCATTATGAAAGTTTGGCTGGGCGATTCCATCAAGGCGTACCAAGTTTTTACAACCGAGTCGACCACGAACTGCCACCAGCGTGCGAAGGGCTACACAAGGCAGTTATAACCGTCCAAATGAAGAAGTCCATTTTGCAGTACAATGAATGTGCAGTACCCCAGCGGCTTATTTTTAACAGTAACGGTCTTCTGATGTTTCCGAGCCTAAGCGAGGGTACCCTCTGTGTTGAGCCAAGTCTCCAACTGCACCAAATATTTGCGCGCTTACAGGTGACGAGCAATTATATTCAGAACGTATGCAAACCAGTTCGTGAAAACGCATAGGGCCCAACCGGAGATATCAACTGGTCCTTCTGTTTTGGGGACTAGCCAGCGATCGGGACTCCGATTAACGAGGACTCCTGCGTTCAGCACTCCGGCGACCAGGTCTCCGATGATCAGGTAGTGCAGGATCTGGACACCGGCAACCGGGACTAAGACGTCGAGGACGACGAGCCTGCTGAAGATCGTATTGATTCAGCAACCGAATGGATTGAAAAAATACGGCCAAATATTTTATGGGTGGTTCTGTATCGAATACATATAAAATATCGAGAATCTACAAGAATCGTCACGTATTTGATCAGTTCGATTGGAGTAAAGTCATCAAAAGCGATGCGCCGGCTCTGTTGTACCTAAATGCGTAGCTGGTTTTAGTGGGACATCTGCCCTTCCAACAGAAAATGATTGTTCCCGTGGGGAGATTGAAGCGGGGCGGTACCAACCAATACGCAGTCGAGCCGGAGTACTACTACTCCAAGCAACAATTTACAAGGAAGAAGGCGTACTCGTAACGGTCAGAGTACTGGATGCAAGCGGGTTATCGCGAAATATGGATAATGGGCGGGTCGTAACCTACACCCTACCTAGTGCTCAGCGCAGTGCTTCAAGGTCTGGATATTCTTTCCGAAGAAGCACAACGAGTTGATCATGTGGAAAAGAAGAACGATTCGTTCGACCGAATTCTCGAGGCAACGACCACGGATGTGCTAATTTTGCGCCCTGGTGAAGATGCGACGATTTCACCTAATAAAACACTATACTTTTATTATGAATATTTAAGAAAAAATCATCTCATAACGTTACTGTATCATTATAATTCTATCAGTTAATTACCGGTTATCTCAGAACCGTTGGTGGATTTTCTTAGGTGAAACCACCATTGATCCAAAAACAATAAGTGCGTAAAAATAAAGTTACATTTCAGTGAATTAGTACAATAAAAAAATATTTACCTGGGCTTGCTGCCTCTTTCGGCGTCCCTTGTGAGTAATTCTACGAATAGAAAGGCGGTTGCGCTTGCGAAAGCGACGGAGATACTGAACAGCGGCAATCTATTTTCTACTGTAGATTGTAGCGGACGAGTTGGGACACTCAATGCGGTACAAGCTAGAGACCTGCTCAGGCATTCAGGGGTACGTAAAATACGAGCGTCTTTTTAACATGGGCCAGACTTCGATTTATGTCGACATGAACCCCAAGATGACAATCACCTTCCAAGGTGAGCGCGACGTCGATGTCGTTCAAGGTAAGTTTATCGTATGATATGTTTTAACATAATGACTCTGCTTGTACGCGAGGGATGTCTGAAAATTCCTTTCGTGCAAGTGTTTTTCTGTGTGCCTCCGCTACCGGTGTTAAGTTGCCTCCTTTCATCGAATTTGCCGGGGTGCAAGGGTGCAAGGTCGAAGCGGAGGTGCATATGAATACTTTTCACAAGGATGAGAAGGTTGTATTAGCAGTGCAGAAGACCGCATATTGCGACGAGCGAGTCATGTTGGAATGGATCAAGGAGGTAATAAATTGATTTGCTGGTTTTATTTTATTTTTACTTTTTTCTAATTGTAATTAATGTTGGTTGTCGGTGTGGAAGCCGTCTGTCACCTTTTGTCGCGTGCAACGGTTGGATAGTCTAAAAGCGCGCAAGGTGAGCACCGTGCGTGCTCAGGTTGAAGATGCCATGAAGGACGAGGAGTTAGTCCCACCTGGTGCCACTACGCTGTCAGCGTGTGTGTCGTAAGCTTTACGCCCAACCGCACTGCAACAATGACCACAGCGCAACCCCCACGGAGCGGCGTAATTTAATTACGTCAATTGTAGTAAAGACATGGGAGACGATCTCAGACGTTACTATTAGAGGAGGAGTTATGAAAGCTGGTCTGTCCCAATCGGCCCTCGTACTAGCGATGATCGTTTAACGGATTCGAAGCCCCCAGCTCCTCAACTTGAAACTAACACTGCAAAATAAAGTTGTTTCAGTTCAATGTAAAATAACATTAGAAAAACCAGTTTTTGATTAAGGATGAGTGTTGGTCGGCAGACAGGGTGTCACCTTTATATAAATGGTCGGGTTTTAGTTTTTACACTTGTTGTTGCACGAACCCGTGGTTACAGGAAATGCATATATTCCGGTAAGCTATTCCATCAAATGGCTACAGATTGTTAATGTGTGCGCCAGCTTTTTACGGTAGTGGGGACGTAAAACACGGTGGGTTATAGAAGAGGTGTATTCTTGTCATTGAAGACAACTCAGTAAAGATGGAAAGAAGCGCCTAATGGTACTACGGGTTTCGATACCCCATAGCAACCGTGGTAGACATGTAGCCGAGTACTATTCATTAGCACAGCAATCACAGACGCTGGTACTGTGTCTTTCTGCAAATAGTTTCGAGCCGTTTTAAATATAGGGAAATCTCTGTAGACGTATTGGTCCGTTCCACCGCGCAGAGACTTCAGTGCGTGTCAGGAACCAGACCCAATTTTCCACAGCGACATCGCTTCCAGGATAGTGCTTTGGATGTAGGATTCAATCGTCTGTTCTGCAACCCCGGTGTAACAACGACAACTTGCTTTCGAAACTTGTCTTGCTTCTTTAAATAAAACTCCCGAAAAAGGTCAACGCCTTCTACTCATTAAGCGCGTCTCGTTTACCTAATCAATGTCGCGCTACCGGTAACAATCATACCAAAACGCACAAACGCATCTCTGTCAAACATCGAAAGTTAAAATACCTTGCTCGTAACGGATATGCTTTAACCTTTCGCCTGGCCCTCGAAGTGCCCTGAAATTAAGCCGTAGGAGCTGCATTGGACAGCCTCCAACGCTTCAACAAGCGCTCAGTAGTCGTGCCATTGTTGGCCGCTAATGGTCGGTGATGACGGCGGCGAGATCGGCAGCGAGGATAGAAGGGGGACACCTCAAACAATACTGAACAGGATAAAATAGCCCCAGATTTTAGGCGGATCCTATGAGCGATTCCGCGCCGTGTTCTACAGAAGGGGGGGGGGGGGGTCGAAAACGCGGTGGGTGCCTACAGCAGCGGGGTCAATGGCGCTGATGGCACCGTAAGTAGCCGGTCGTTGAGCGTCGGCTTAGGTCACAGGGCCGACTTGTGTTTGGGGTCCGGCGGTAGATGTTTGGAGCTGGGCTGCTCGCGCGGCCATTTTCTAGCGAATGTTACCCTAGGCGTCGCACCATGAAAGGTGTACCAAAGCCTGATACAGTGTATGAGTGGCCTCGCCGTTTTATCTGACGCGGACGGTGGCTTGGCCTCTCGTGGGGTGATGGTCGCCGAGACGAACATCGTGAGCATCAGCGTGACGATTGTGTGCGGCGTGCTGCGGCTGCGACGGCGGTCCTCGGTTGGGGTGATGGCCTCCAATGCACTAGCATCGGGAGCTGGACGGACAGCGGGCGTGTGATCAGCTGCGTGGCCTCGGGCGAGGTGATGGTGCTAGAGGCTAGTAGTTGCAGCTGCAGCTCAGTGTCAATGCCACGCAGAGCGCTGGAGGAGGCGACGGCCGTGCGGGACGGCGGGCGTGTGGACAGCTGCGCGGATTCGACGAGCTGATAGCGCTCCAGGTGAGCAGGGACAGCAGCTGCGAGACGGTTTTGCACGGCGGCGACAATAGCTGGAGATGTACCCTTGAGGCCGACAAGATGCAAGGTAACATCTATGTACTTTTACTTGGGTGGGTATACCGTTTTAACGTAATGTCTCGCGTAGTGTTGTTTGTAATCTAGTACCTTCGAGAAGGCAAGCGCATTCTCCGACTGCCGTTTAAAGAGGTCCACCAACGCAAGCGCGGGGTTCACTTCAGCGTCAGCAGTGGTAGGCGCAGCATCGAGAGGGGCCACAAAGTCCTGACTTATGGTCCATGCAGATACCCAGCACGGCCTTTCCTTTGCACATTTTTGTGATGAATGGGCTGCTGTTGCAGAGGCACAGCATATAGGATAGTTTATGAAGTGTGTTGCGGCAAGAACGTCGACGACATCATGAATCGGCGAATACCATGGTATCAGTATCTGACGCGCAGAAGTTAAGATGAAATCGCTCCGTGAAATTTTTTACTCAGAACCAATTTGGGGTAAGTTTTCGGCACTATTTTTGTATCGCTCTAAATGTATTTGTAGATATTGGTGTAGAATCGCCTCCCAATTGGTACAAGTTGGTAACCACGACCCGATTTGTCAGACCTTTGAATGGGGTAAAAACCGACTAGCATTTTCCAATATTGGTAATCGCTATGATGTTAAAGCTTTAGCTTGTCTATGTATTATTTATATGCCAGATATAATGCCCATTGGACCGTTATTTCTAAAACGGATGCCGTTGGTTCGAAACAAAAATTCCCTGATGTAGGCGACGTCTATTGAAAATAGTTTTATCTGCACATATTACTAGTTTTTCCTGCGTGCTAAACGCTTAAACCCGAACATTTTGTTTACACATACAACATTTTACCAAATATTAAAGTTCGGTCAAATGCTAGATCTTCACATAATAATACTACATGGCGTAACGGAAAATATAAAAGCAGTATCAACAGAATATAGCTTCTGAGAACCTGGGATTCGCAGCCTTATACATCACTTTGGCGTGTGATGTATAGTACGATAAACAATTAGCAATGTATAATGAATGTGCAGCCGAATCATGTTTACTTTAGTTTGTATTCCAAAGTGGCAACAATTAGCCGGTCTATTGCAGAAAGACCTTGGATACATTTTGCTACTGCAAACTTCAAAATGCATGCGCTGAGTGGGCGCTATGATCACAAAAAGGTTTTGTTGTCGCCGCAATCAGCAATTTTACATCGTATTGCTGTATAGCAGTATCGTTGAAATACTCCGGTGTATGTGCCTTTCTGTCGATCTCGTTTCCTTCATGATTAACGATTTCAGCATTAACACATCTCTCGGTATCTAAAACGTATATAAAAACGCTACAGAAATTTAAGATGGTCTAATTGAAACAGTTATCCCGGGGGGGGGGGGGGGGGGTCACATGAGTGTTTCTGGATAATACCATCATTTACCATTGCAACACTATCCAGAACAGTCCTTTATTTTACTTGCTCCACAATTTCATCCATTAAAGGTGTATCAGCTAGCGAACAGACTGCGTTGTGATAATGACGAGCAGTGTTGAATCCAATTCAACGTATCTGTCGCAGTATTGAAGCGTTTCACACTGCATCAAACGGAGAGTAGCCACATTGTGTGTGATCCCAGCCACTTTTACTACTAAACCGCCCTGGGAGATAGTTGTGTCGAGTTCTTCTCTGCATCGGCTTTTGAACATCTCCACTTGTTTTAGATTCATGGCCGTAAAGTAGTTGCGACGAATTTTCAGTATGCTTATACGTTCAGCATATGCCTCAAATGTGACATTGCCGATACTGATAACCCGACCAGCGCCTTTCCCCGAGCAATTGCATGAACACGTTTTTGCGTTTCATTGCTCGCATGCTTGATGGGATATTTTCGTTGCGCCCGCGGTTTCGCTGACGTGCCGGGTTGCTTTGCTGCAGTTGCGACTTTAAAAGCTGGGGCGCAATGCGAGGTGGCTTTGGGACGGTCCCCAGTTATTTGCTGGTTCAGTGTCTGCGACCCACCAATAATTTGCAAATCGACATAGCGCCTGAAGTTGAATATTTCTTTTCTCGGGGTGTACTCAATAGGTTTGTCAACACTTGAGGAATCCGAGGGATTAACTCAAAAATCAACAATCTCATCATATTCTGTTCCGCAGCCAGTAAATTCCTCTTCGCCACTGGCGTATTCCTCAAGAAACGCGTCCATAGCTGTAGATGCCATTGAAAAATCAAGCTGGCCTTCCAAATTATTCCACGTCCTTCCACTGCCTCTGTACCCAAACTTACAGCACAACGCATATCGCGTACATTATCGATACGATAACTGGCGTAGCAACGGAGGTTGTAGGCTTCGAGATCGGCACACATTGGCTTCAACCACTCGTATTATCAGTTACAAACGGCCGGGAGGTGTTCGTTGGCGCCACGTCCCTTGCACGTATTTACTTTATAACAATAAAAAATCTTGCTGATGGGCTACTTAGAGCGCTGCGCCGTTTACGGGGCCGTTAGCTCCCCTATGTGTTAATATTCATACACTTTAGATAACAGCTTCCGAAAAGCTCGTTGCTCCAGCGGTGTGGGAAGTCCACATCTCATGTCAGTGCGTCGAGCATAATCACCCGCGTTGGAGTTGAGTACTACAAACTGTACCACGAGATGCGACGTCTACATGAAGAGGCCGTCCTCGCAGACGTAAAAAAAAACTTCGCAAGGCCAGCTCCAACGGAAAACGAATTTTTGAGTATATTTTGGAGCTCTCGTCAGCTGAATCCACCATGAAGGATGTTCCTAATCTAATTGCATGACTAGAAAAAAAGGCTCTGGGCACTAAAACGCTGGAAGAGAGTATCGTGGACTACTTAAAAGGATTCTCGAAGGACGGGAATATTGTCAAGGTGTTTCTCACTGACGTAAGTAAATATTGGTATCACTGGTCGTTGAAAGTGTAATGTTAAACGGACGACATATATTTTTCTAGGAGCTCGCTGAAGTTATCACAGTACAGGCAGCTCACGTGGTCTCAATCTTCAAGCACTTTCCGGAGGTATTGCTGATTGATGCTACGCATGACACTAACAAGGCTAAGTACAAATTGCTTTCATTCATAGTCCATGGCCGACGGAAAGAGTCAACATAGCCAGGTAAAGTGAGTTGAATATGAAATCGGTTCTGTTTTTTGTTCAACTGTATCATTGCTTGTACGAACAGCACAGCGTGGTTGAAAACGAGCGGAAGGAACGGTTGCAGATGGCTATTGAGTAGTTTAAAACCGCCTGCCCGATACTCACATGAACCCTGTGCACCATGATCGATAAATATTTTACGGAGATCGCTGTTCTAGAAGAAGAATTTCCTGGGACCCGAAAAGGTGCCATTTTCATGTAGTTCAATGCCTTCATCGTGAGGCAGCAAAGACTGATTACAATTAAAGCAGCTCTCTCGTTTGCTGGTGAGCGCTTCTACACAGAGCGTGTTTGATACAGTTCTCGATACAGTGAGAGCAGCATTTCGGTGCAGCAAAATGCGCGAGCAGTGGTTCGCAATGCTGAAATCGAACTGTGTATTGATGTGGAGCTCCATAAACCGCAGGAACATCCCTCACATGGGGAATCACACCAATAAGCGGTGTACTTAAAGATTGGGAAAGCAATTTATAAGCTGCAGAGGAGATTTTTCGTACGCTTATCCTCATTTCCTGATCATTTTTGGCGAAAGTTACCCAGCCGTTTTCGAGATATCCTTCGTTTTGTAAACCCCCGCAAAGTGCGATTTTTGCGTAACAACCTTTCAAGAGATCTGGGTATTATAGTTAGCCAAAATCAGCCTACATCACGTGATTGGGGAAGCAATTTATAAGCTGGAGTGGAGATTTCTCGTTAGCTTATCCTCATTTCCTGATCATGTTTTGTAGTCTAGAATCGAGCTAGCAGACACTCACGACACTGGTGAATCGACCCACAGCCGTTGACGATTGATTTGTGACTTAAATGTTCTGGCAAACCGTACACGAGAAAGACTAGCGCTCTAAGCTAGGTCGTATTGGTATGCATGTAATGCCAACTATCACGACGAATTGAGTACATTGGCTCAGAGGTTATCTCCACATGAGATGGAACTAGTGAACCAGCAATGGGATTTTGGCGTCAAAGCATCTACTAGGTATCACTACTACCCCGGGGACCCGTACATACTTATCCAGTACGACCCCGACAATGGTGCTGTCGATGACGTTCCCGACGAATACACCATGAACCCCAGCTCATGTACAGGCTCGTGGGTCTTACACGTTACTCACCGCCTTCCATGTTGGCGTAATGTGTTAACAGACTCATAGCAAACCAAAAACTGCTACTACCAGAGAGCATCATCGACGCACGTTGAATTCTCGAAACATTTTGCACAGTCGCAGCAACACCAGTCGCAGAAATGGATGCCTCTTTTGAGGTTGCTACTGTGGCGCCGACCAAGAACCCCAGGGCAAAGAGCGAATCCGAGAAGTATAACGAACGGCTAGCTGTAGCGAAACAAATCGCAGATGTGGCGGCCCAATGGGGAACCCGGGAACACTCGAGCTTGGTGCGATAACAGCTACCTTTTTTACTGAAGGCAGGGTCGCGTCTAACAATTTAGCTATCGACGTATACTACATCCGCACGAAGCTCTCCGCCACCTTCAAGGCCTGCACCATAACTAGATGGTGGTACCGTATAAATATTGGCAGGTATGCTACGCTGGGATTGGATGAAAATATGTATTAGCCGTTAGAATGACAGTGCTACTCGCCGAGCTCAGGATGACCGCTATGCTTACGGCCATAGCGCATCTGAAGAAGAATACCTGTCACTGAGCGCTGCCGGCCGTACGCAGCATACACCTTATCGATAGCAACATCACTGGTGAAGCCCGCTCTGACGAGGTAGGTGGCAACATCCCAGAATGCTTTCCTGCGCGAGAACACGAACTTGTTAGGCCCTCGCTCGACAGAAGTGAAGTGCTTCGCGGCTTTGGATCCACCGAGCCCGAACGCAAAGTCATGCCAGATCTCGTAAAGATCTTTGTGTTGCTTCGGTAATACTGCTAAGCTGGTACGTCGTCTCTAACAACTTGGGCTTGAACTGTGTGAGCCACAGGCTGTATCGAGATCCGTCGCAATCGAGCAAACATCTTTTGGTGCCTCCGCTGCATTTCGCTGCGAAGTACCAGCGTCTCGTTGATGACGCTCGACACCTGGCGTAGGAGGCAAAAGCCTGTGTGTGCAGCGCTGCAAACTCCATTCGGGTGCTGTCCGCCGACGTATCTGCTTGAGTTGGCTCGGTGGGCGCTGCTTCTGAGGCGCCGGAGGCGCCATCTTGCAGCTCAATGAGCTCGAGCTGAGCTCCGTCACGGGAAACGCGAATCGGCACGCGTCTTACAGGATTAGTTGCAGCGTTTCCGCCTGCGTTGGCGTACGCCTGTACAACGCGTTGCTTCAATTCCGCTGGAACTAGTTTGTAGTTAAAGCTGCCGTTGCTTACAAGTGATGCCCACGGCAGCGGCAACGCCAAAAATCGCGCAACATCTTCTCCCATCTTTGCTTGATCGTACTGGTGATTTGGTCCACTAGAAGCGTATCCATGACGGATTGAACACCTTTTTTTAGCACGTAAATGCATGACCCAAGAGGACCGGCCAGCGCGGCAGTAGCAACATCATCTGGTAGGATTATGTGTTGTCAATATAAACGTCCACAATATTCTTGCGAGTACGCCATCGTCCGTGGCGATTGATGTTGTCCTTCGGAAGCCCACTCCAACTCGCACACGTTGCTGCACCCTTATACAAACTGTGCGTACCCAAGTTGCCCTGCTTCAGCTTGTGAAAATCGCCTTTGCTGAACACGTCCTGCAGAAACCGACATACTATTCGGCCACCATCCTATGTGTTACCAAACACATATGCAGACGTGCTCGCTTTTGCGCTGGTCTCCAAATATATTGTCATGTTTAACAGTACGCAAACGCGAGGATCTTAAGTCCCCAGCAGAATGTGCTCGGGCGAATCACACTCTTCTGAAATGTTCTTCGACCACCGGAGCTGGTACAACAGCGTGCCTGGGTGCTGCACGTTTGGAAAAAGCTGTCGAGGTTTAACTTCATCATGTCGTCAATGCGCGTGATGAGATACCACTGCAGAGTAAGAACGCCGCTCACCAGGAAGTTGAGCACGCCCTGTGCGTGAGACGAGCGGACGAGCTCGAGCAGGTTGAGTAACTCCTTGAACTCAATGGGGCGTCTCGCAGCTGACTTCACACCTTCTCTTTGAACTTCAGAGCGCTTCACGGACTTGATCACCTTGTTGACAGACTCGAAGCGTGTAGAGTTCTCTTCCTTCCTGATGGGGTCCCACGGAACCGTGACGCGGGGAATGAAGCACTAAGGCCTTCTTTGCGTACTCTAGCGTCAAGTCTCTGCCATGAACAGGCTTGGCGTCGCCACTCGGGTCTGGCTCGCCGAGCGCGCAGTAGTTCATCCATCTGCACACGTCGTCGGGGCAGATTCTGAGTAGGGTTTCCCTGGTGAACGTCGCGTAAGCAGTGTAGCTGCACTCATCGTGAAATCACATGAACTCTGCGAGGATAGCTTTGTATCGTTTGGGGCGCAGGGTGTCTGTGCTGCTATTCTACTTGTGTCCTGACCCTCGAATTTTCAACTGAGGATGGGGTGTCACACGTTCTTGTTGTATGTCATGGGTTGTGTTTCTAGGCAAAAAGCTGCTCTCTGTGCTACAATTGTAGCAATCGGTTCGGCATCGAAGACAAGGGTGCCGGCAGTGATTGCTGTCGATACCCTAATCTGAGACGACCACTGGGTGCCTACCAAAAATAGAGAAATCACCCGACATGGATGCAGAAGCTATGTCAGGCTTAACACGAAAATATGTTGACATATCCTAAAATTTGGCCGCCACAAATGTATTAATGAGCAAACTCTGGTCGATCCTAATAGTCTCATTTCAAGTCTTTGATCGCACTATAGAACAGTTAGTGTGGGACACTTTGGGGCTGAATCTTTCCAGATCCGCTTGAAGTTCGCGAATAGTAGGCTTGAAGTTCGCCATTTCCCTTCCTACTCCCTCCTGCTCAAGCGCGACAATGGTTGACGGAGACGACGGCGTGATCCTGCCTCTCTACGAGGCGTACAAGACGCACACCGAGCGCGTGCGCGACGCTCGCCGCGACGTTCATCAACTCCTGCTGGAGCAGGAGTGGCGCGTCGCCATGCGCTCGCGTCAGTACCTCACCACGCAGTGTCTCGACGCGCCGTGTGCACCCGCCTGGATGACGCTGTACGAGTACGGCACTGACATCAACTTCTTGAACGCTACGAGTCTGACGCGGTGAGTTCTTTGAAAGGCCTGTATTACATCTCTATTCTAACACTACTGCTACGAGTACAGTAGCGCCTTTGATCAGTTGCTCTGTAGATTTTGCTGCTTCTACTACATGCGGCCGCTGTCGTCGAGAGGGTGCCCACCCAAGCTGTGCTACTTACACCAAGTGATGGGTCTCGTTCTTACCTTCTACGTCGGGTCGATGGACCAGAGCTCCCTATGCATCACCTTTGGGGTCCCGCCCAGCACGCTCTCCAGGACGCTGCGCAAAGCCGAAGAGGCGCTAGCGCGGGCGCTGAACGGCTACGCGCCTGCGCGTATCTCGTGGCCCTCTCCCTCGCGCCAGGTAGAATTGGCGCGGATGGTCAACAAGCGTGAGCCTGTACTCACCCGCACGTTTTAGATGGTAAGCATCTTCGTGTACGTATGCATGCTCTTGAACTTGCCTTTTACTTTGTATATTCATTAACTCTAAATGCTTTTGCAATGTGTTGTACAGGTGCAAGAGCCTTCTAACACAGACCTTCAGAACGCCATGTACAATGGCTGGCTGCACTCGGTCTTCGTTACCGGCACGATCTACTTTGCAGCTGATGGCTGCATTATCTAGTCTCGCCACAACTGTCCGGGGTCGTGGAACGACTCGGACACGTCCTTGGAGTTCCGCGGCAAGCTGACGGACTTTAGTACTGCCCCGATGGTCGTATGAGCGTAGTTTCCGATTCCGCCTTCCCGTGCTCCACGGCCATGACGGGGCGAATCTTCACCCCGTTGAAGGACGGAGATATCGAAAAAATTGAGCCTTCACTGCGCGTCACCGCACGCACCCTGCACAATGCTGTCAATTCCATCCGCCAGGCTGCAGAATGGGGAATGGGTAGCGTACAAAAGGTCTACAGCAGACTCAACTTGCCGCTGCCCTACGACCCGAACCTACGATGCATGCGCATCGACAACCTATTCCGGCTTGCAAACTACAGAGTTCGCACAGTCGGTATTTCAGAGATCAAGACCACGTTCTCCAGCGTGATGGAGATGCCCGAGCAGCTAGCGCTGTAGTGGTGTGGATGAAATGTTTTGCATCACTGTCCGTAGCTTTCACGTACTAGTACAACGTAATTGCACCTTCGTTCGTGCAGCATGCACGTTAATAGCTACAATTGAATACATGCTGTCAATTCTCGCAACAAAAGCTAGGTATCCTGTTGCTTGCGACTAAGGGCTGTATTGAAGATGATACGCTACGTGCACTTCCTCCCTCTTTCGATCTCCTTGCTGTCTCCGCCACGCTAGAGCATTTGTGGCTCAGTCTTTCTTCGTTAGAGCGCCCAGAATGAGCAACAGCTCTTGAGTGCGAGCCCGAGCATCTTCCTTGTCACGACGGGCGCGCTCCTCCGCCTCTTGTTTAACCTGACAGCGCCGCTCCTCGGTCTCCAGTCTCTCGTGACGGTTGCGCTCCTCTGCTTCTGCCTTGTCGGCAAGGTAGCGGGCTTCGCGAGCAGGAATCTCGTCGCGACGACGCTGCTCTTCTTCAGCGCGGCGGAGCTCAGCCTTGCGCTCGCTCTCATCGCGGATTAGCAGCATCATCTCAAACATGGATCCGCCTATGTTGCTGGCGCTGCTCTCCAAGTCGGGCAGACGCTTCTTGAGCTCGACGGTCGCCCTGGTAGCCTTCACGCGCTTGCCTTGGCGAAGCTAGCCTCCGAGAGCTTCTCGTCGTTCTCGAGGGCGCGCTTGCGCCTCACGGTGTCACGAAAGTCAGCCTAGTCGATACCTCCAAGTCGGTTCGAGGAAGTCGCGTAGCCTTTCGGCTTGGACTCCTTCTTGCTCGGCGCGCGCCCTTTAGTGCCTTGCTGCGACCCAGCCTTTGCCTTAGCAGCGCTGGCTGCTGTCGTCGATGCGCCGGCGGCGCCGCTGCAGCAGTGGGCCATTGCCAAACCTTCTTTGCTCAGCTAGAGCGCAACTTGCGCTGCATCGACGGCGCCAACGGCAGAGGAGGGCGCGGCGCGTGAGACGCCGGCTGCGTCGAGTAGCTCCGACAGGTCCGCGTTGTCTACGCTGTCACCGACCGACGTCGGCGTCTCGCCGGAGTGCATCGAGTCGTTAGTGGTGGTGCTCCCGCCCGTGTCAGCGTCGGCGTCTTCGCGCGTGTTGTCCCCGAGCCCCTCCTCGCCCTCGAAGTCGAACGAGAAGTCCTGCTCATACTCCTCCTCTTCTTGGTCGACGTCAGCACCGTCGTCCATGTTGACGACGCTGGCCTTGTCGTCGATAGCTTGTTTAAGCTACTTCGCCAGCTGCACATGTGGCGGCATGTCGGCCACTCCCGTAGGTTACCGCACACTATAGAGCACCCTGAACTTTCGACGGAGGCTCTCGCGGCCGCGCTCGGCCACACCACAGTCTCGGTGCGTGTTGTAGGAGTTTGCGAGTCGCTCCCATTCGTCCTTGCCAAGCGGGAGGTAGTGTTCGACGAGCGCCAGAAGGCGGCGCACTTCGGACAACTTGTAGTTAGTGCTTCCACGCAACTTCGCCATCTATAACCAAAGCAAATACACGAGGTTGTGAGTGTCAAACAGTAACATGTAGGTGTCAAGGTGACGGCATCGTTCATCAGGAGAGCAGCGTAGGAGGAGGTGAACGGGGTCGAGTGGGGGGGGGGGGGTGGACTTGAGCGAGGCTTGGAAAAACCAATAATGCGAGCGACAGGAGCTTGGTTTCCTCTCCGTCGCCGAAGGAGGCTCCAGCAAGGCAAACACAGCACTGCTACTTGAAGTTGGCGCGTACTTCGTTGGTGCGTACAGCTACTCGTGGGCCTATTTGGCGCGCAAACTGAGCGAGCTCGTGGTTGATACAAAGATTAACATAGAGGCAAAAAGCAGCTCACAGCGTTCATTTTGGCGCCAAGTTCACGGCGATTTCTGCTGGCACGTCAACAGCAAAGGCAAGTTACAAGGGATAGAAGCACTTCAACGCAGTTAGATTCAACAGCGAACCAGATTTGAATACAATTTCCATACCAATTGCTGCAAATCTCCCACTACTTATTCTTGACTTCAACTAGACCTCGACCTTGAGAGCGCCGCCTACGGGTCTTGCTTGTCTTGGATGTCGCGGTGGCAGCAATTTGCGTGGCCACAGCGGCACACGAACCAAAGATCCGGTTCGTAGTCCACGGTAATCTCGTCTCCCTCGTAGAAGGCGTGCGTGGTGGCCACCACGACCGTGGTCCGCCGCCCATTCACAACTTCCAAGAAGCGCGCCACAGGCGCGCACGAGTGGTTGACGAAGCGCATTAGTCCCCCTATCTGCTGCGCGTTGACGACTACTCGGACGGGGTGACTTGGTGTCTCGGGCCTCTGCGTCATGACTAGCAGATAGCCTTCATGCCGCGGACTAGCAGCGTGAGAGGCATTCACATGCTCAATCTCTCCCAGGTATTCGCCCAAAATCACGCCAGCAGCGATGAACTCCTGCGCCACCACGGCTAATTGTCTGGTCACCACGTTCCTTGCCAAGGCAACCTTGGTCGACTCGACCAAACCATTCCCACAGTTGCTGCTGTAGGGGCAACAGTTCACGTTGCAATAGAGCTGAATGAGGGAGTTGTGGCAGCGTCCAACTCGGCACGGGTCCTCACAGTCGCACGAGCCGAAGTGCGGGACCGCAGGGAAGATGACCCCCGTGGGGTTAAATTGCGTGCGGAGGTGGGCTACGGAGAATGGCCTGCGGGCGGGAACGAAGCGGTCTTGGTAGTGAACACCACGAGTGTGAGCTGGGTGCGCTGGAACCAGAGACGCCGACCCACGGGCTGCGAGCATGACACCATTCGGCGCCACCGTCGGCGGTGTCGCTTCATGACGCCGCTCGCGACGTTGACACGGCCCAGCAGCCGCACGTCGCTCGCTGCGCGAGCTATGGCGCTCACGGAGCGGCCTTCGGTCTGGCGGCGAAGACGATTTTGGGGGGGGGATGGCGGACCTTCCAGCAGAACCGGCGACGACGTTGTCGTGCTACGCGGATTCCTCGTGGGCGGCGGGGTTGCAGGCGTGGCGAGATCCGCCTCGGGCGCCGTGGCCACCGTGACGCCAGCTGTCGAAGCCTTCGCTGAGGGATTGGACACCTCCTTCGGGACGCGGAGCCCGTGCTGTGGCGACATCCACGGCGGCGTCGTGGTCCCCGTGGAGCTGGTGCTCCCGGAGGAGGAAGACTTCGCGCTCTCGGCTGGCGCTTGGGTGCCGCCTCGCTGCACATTCGGCGGCACGTTTCGTCTTCACTCGATGAGTCCAGGATGCATCGTGCGGTCCAGTGCACGGCGGAGTGTACGAGACGAACCATGATCGCTGCGCGTCTTAGTAAAACATGTTAGCATAGTTTCGACCAAGCCGCTAGTCGTATCAGGCAGCTTACCCGGTGTCTCTTTGATGCTGACTGCAGCGCTTGCAGGCGCTTGTCACTTGGCCGCGATTTTTCGAAGTGATAGGTTGAAGCTGGCGGTGCACGAGATGAGTTATGTCGCCGATATGCCTGGAGAGGGATGGTCAACAAAATTTCAACGTTATTTTTTATGATGGCTATACGACATAAATCTAGGGGTAGGGCTGTTTATTGTGAACATTTTTACGTCTCACAAGATGTATGCTCCGTTTAAGACCTGTCATATCTGCTGCATCTCTGTCGGGTGATTTCTCTAGTTTTGGTAGGCACCCACTAGCCAATCAGACCCCCGCGTTGACGAAATACAACTTCGATTGTATTTGGCCGGTTACGTGATGGTTTCATCGAGGTCTATCTCCTTCTATTCCAGATCGAGTGCTAACATTTAGAGGACACACCCAGTTTATAGCTCCTGTAGAAGCGTCGAACACGGCTATTATGACAGCAGGACATTTCGTCACTTACCTTAGTACATTGGGAAGTCAACAATCAATGTCGTCAGAGTGTTGTGTATTAAAGAGGTATAATGTTAGTATCAGCCAATCAAAAGACCGAAAAAGCGTGACATACTCACAGAAACGGAATTTATTAGTTTAGAGTTTGTTAGAATTAGCTAGAAAAACTCGCTTAGCCTTACCATTTCACCTTTATTTTACAGTTGATACGACGCGAGTATTGATTTGGGGGTTTTCCTGAATTCTTCACCCATTTCAGCGGAGATCCACTGTGCGTACAGGTGCTATACGTCTCCAAAGTATCTGGAATAAGAGCTGCCGCCGACGGTGGCTACTATTTGCTTGTTGCATTTTTCCATTGAAGTTATCGATCTAGCTGGAAAAAAAGCTAAACGAAATGTCATCGTCAGCAATATGTAGCAACAGGCCCAAATTACTATTGCACGAACCTGAAATGTTTTGCTCCTGTACACAAGTATTCTTCACATTTCGCCTAGTTCCCAAAAAAATACTTATCGATTCCAGGGACAATAAATTTATTAAATAGCACGCCAATCACAATTTCATCGAGGACCTCCTCTGCATCTGCGCTGCCGTAGCTTTAGCGTAAGAGGAAGACGTAACAGACTCACAGACTCTCGGCTTAAGCTAGCCCGTTCTAATACCAGAACGTACGAGTCCGTAAACCTTACGGACTCCAAGAGTCAACCCTTAACTCTTTAGTGTGTAAATCTCAAACTGAATGTAATTCGCGTCAGCGCGGCCAAGCCGCCTATGGTGTATTGTGCTTTGCATTGATTTTGGCAATATGAGGCGAGATTTGCTGTATGTAAAGCGACCTCCTGCTAGATTTACGATACATCGAGGTGCATAAATGGGTGGAGACCAAGAATTACGCTAAAAGCGCCACAATTGCACTTTCAAAAGTGCAATTGTGGCTGTGCAGCTGCAATTCTGTCGGTTTTTATCCACAAGCACCTACACACACGGCAATTATGCATAAGAGGGTGGATGTGCTGGAGATCACGGACGGTGGTGTACTGGACCAATGCATGGCTGCTGACAGACCCTCCTAAGTCGATATATATATGAGGAGGTGGATTTATGCATAATTTTAGCAGGTCGTGTATCTTCTTTCACACATATTTAAGAGCAGGCTTTGCCATATTTAGCGCCTAAAATGGTCGGCAAAATAACTGCAAAGCACAATAAATGTATCCGGTTCACTATCTAGCATAGTAAACCCTAGTCATATGCATAATCAGTGGCTCTGAAGTCATGTACTGATTCTCCTACTGAAATAGGTTATACAGTGCGTACCCACAACGCCTGTGTGTCCCACACTTCGTAACCCTTCGGGTAACTCTCGTGTAACACGGTTGCACCCTCCCCCACCAAACCGTGGGCACGTGTGTTCACGCTTAACGGTCGACCGCGGGTCTTGTTCCGTCAAGCCTCCTTCTCGAACTAGTCAACCTACATCGCGTGGTCTTATCGGAGAACTTCTCGGTGCAACGCGCCCTCATATGACTTCAAGTCATAAAGCCTTTTGGTCTTTCGACAGGGACAGCAGGCAGTCTCTCGCGAGATCCGCCTCGGAGCCTCGCTCCTCTCGTGCTTCTGCACAGCGTGCCCCCGCACCTTCGCGAACACCAGCGCCCCCGCGCACACCCTCGACGCCTTCCAGGCTCTCGGTGTCCGAGTACTTCGTGGCGCACCGCCTGAAGCACAGCTTGCAGCGCGCAAGCCTCAGCTCTCCGCGAGAACCAACCCGCCGTATCATGTGTCTCCGGGAATTCTTCGGCGTAGAGGGTGAAGTGGACGAGTCCATGGAAAATTCTCCGAACCGCGGATATGGGTCTCCACCCACGCAACGCTCCCCGATCCGCGACGACGCTTCGTCCACGCCATCGATGCGCCGTGAAAAGGGCTCGCCGGCTCCAGTTGACTCTCCGAGCCGTCGCGACCAAGAGCTCCCTGCGCGCATGTCTACTGTGCGCTCTCCGAGCCGTCCCGCCACTTCGCGCGCTGCGCCACCGAGGGAGGAACCGCGGCAGCCGCTGCGGACTCCCAATCCATTTCCCCAGCGCTCCTTCGGCCTCTTAGATCTTACGGAGCCACGGTACTCGCCGCTTCGTGCGGAAGACATGCCCCTGCGCCCCGTCATCTCCAACCCTTTAGACGAAGCTCAGTCCGAGCAGGTTGCGGCGCAGATGGCTCCCATGCGCTCCCGGTGGTCTCTGCAGAACCCTAGCACTGCTGACTACGGCTTCCGGCCTCGTGGCCCCGCGGAGGCTTGCGACAGGCGTTTCAGCAGTCTCTCGCGCTGCACGCCATTGGGCCCGCGGTCTGTACTCCGGAGGAGCTCGCACTGCGTACGTCTCTGCGAGAGTGACTCCTCACTCCACAGTCTACGACTGTCGCGGAGTATCGCGAGAGGCTGCGGCTGCAAGCCCAGCAGAAGTCCGTGCCCGCCATGCGGACGTACCCGGTGGTACTCAGCCAGGGGAAAGACTTGATTGAGTACGGAGCTCAGTTCAAGTCTTGGGCCGAGCACAGCCGGAAGCTCAGCTCCATGGATGCTCTCCGAGCCAGCTTCAGCGAAGTGAATGTTCGTATTCAACGCAAGCTCCGCTTTGACTTTGCGAAGGTTCGAGCCAAGCGCAGCCTCTCGGCAATCACCCAGCCGCAGACCCAGTTTAGCGCTGCGCGCTTCGCTCCTTGGGGCACTCCAGCCGCTCCTTCCCGCGAGGGAGTGAGCGCTGTGGCACAGGGTCAGTCTCGGAGCAATGTGGCTGACCCAGCAGCTCCCCTGCTTATTGCCGGGAGGCGTGGGGCGGTCGGCGTGCCGGCCTTGAGCCGTCGGGGCGCTGGTGATCAAGCTGATCAAAAGCGTCAACGACGTCTGGGCAGTTTTGGCGAAGGGGCACCTCAACCTCCCATGAGTTCTCGGAGTGAGGGTGCCCTCGCCATTTCACCAGATACTGGTTTTGACCCTGGCACCGCCGCTTCGCCAGGAGGCGCTCCACATGGTAATGCCGATTCCCATGCTCAACGAGCAGAGCCGGTGAAGGACGCGCCAACCCGCCGCGCGACGTTTGACGAGTTGCACGAGACTCAGCAACAGGCAGGTCGCGTTCGGGACCACGTCCACGACATCGACGCGCGTCTGGCACGTTGTGCGACTGATGGCGATAGATTCGTTGAGCGGGTGGAGTGCCTTGGAGTGCCTCGGGAGGTCTGGGACCAGCTCGGAGTCTTGGAGGAGGACTCCGTCCGTCTGAACGGAACTGCTTTCGCGATCGCGAAGAGTGGAGCAACAGCGTCAGCAGGCTGTGCTCCAGGTTTAGCCCGACCTCCTGACCCGCATGCAGGCCCCGCCTGCTGCGCCTCCTGCGCCTGCGGCTCCTGCTGTGCCCGCGTCAATGGTCGCGCCTTTGACGCCTGCGACTGGTTCCTCGACGATCGTGACCTCCGCGCCTGTGACCTCGTCACCCTCGGTGCCTCCATCTGTGCCTTCATCGGGTCCTGGTACGGCTTGAGCAAGCCCACGTAGAAGACGGGGTGCGTCCGCATCTTCTTCGGAAGATTGAGCGTGTACGCAAGGCCCTTCTTGGCCACAACCTTGAACGGTCCGATGAAGCGTGGGTGTAACTTCGTCTTGAAGACGGCTGACACTCATGTGTAGGTAGGTTCTTAGCGTTAAGCAGCACCAGGTCCCCGCCCTCATAACTTTCAACATTGCCTCTGCCTCTGGCGTCTGCATGTTCTTTTTACTTGTCTTGGCTCTCAGCCATCGCGTCATGCACATGACGTAAGACACTCAGACGCGTCGACAAGAAGGCGTCAACCTCTTTACGAACAGTAGCCGGGCTGACATCGACCAGCTAAATCGGCTTCCCCTCCCCCACCAAGCCCGAGGCCACCGT